TAAGATAAAGATTTGTGGCACAGCAAGGTTGCTGGCTCAAGGACAGACTAGTTACTAATTGTTATGTAAAGATACTGAGAGTTTGCTGTAAGAAGAAATGTTTGCTAAGATCAAGCTTTTGTTGATAGGACCACTTAATTGTCTTACTGGAATGTCATCTGGCTTGTTTCATTGAAAGTTACCAGCCTATATTGTTAAACTATAACCCCATCTATGTTCTCTTCCTGTAACTTCCTGGTCTGGAAAATAAATGCAGGAAAAGAACCCCAATTTGGGGTTAATTTCCCAAGGAAGCGATTCCTCTCGCTTGAGGGTTCCAGGGAAGTTAACCACTTCGGGGCTTCTCACTGCTCAGAAGAGATGGGCTTTGAGTAATCCTTTGCGGCTCCATCAGTCACTCAGGGGAAGTGGGGTGACAAATCCGTGGGGGGAAAAGCAACAAATGAAGCCACAGGCAAGGGGTTGCCAGACCTTGAGGCCCTTCAGACCATCTCAATGTGCAACTCCAGGGCCTGAGGGAACACCCTCATGCACAAAGCAGCCATTCCCACCTTAAACATTCTTCCTCCTCTTTCTTCTCTTTTCTCTTTTAACTTTCCTTTTTCCCCTTCCTTTCTCCATTTAAGAGTTTAAGGACTACTTGTGACTACAGATAAAACTGACAAAACAGAGAATACACACAGAATATTCAGATTTTATCTGAACAATTTTTTCCCATTTTTTTTCTCTCCATACTCATTAATTACTCTTTCATTTTATCAACTCATTTCTCATGGTCACCCTTTCTCTTAACATTTATATAACATGATCCCATTTTATTAAAAGCTCTTCAATTAATATACATTTTATTAACTGAAAAGGAACATGGTAGAGCAAGAAAGATATGGGAACTACTGCTCTCCTTTCCCTATTTCTCCCTGAATATATTTAATGTTTCAAGTGAAGAATGTAAGAAAAACCAATACAGAAGAAATATTTTTCTACTATTAAGATTTCTTTTTATCCAAAATTAATATACTTACTTTACACTTCCCACTAACTGAATTATGGCCAAATGACCACCCAAAGCAAAAGTGTCTACCTTCTTTTTAGTGAGACAAAATGAGACCAACTACCTAGTGCAATATTCCTTTCATCAAATGTTTTGGGATAATTATTTTTCTTTGCTTGAGGTTAATGCTATAACTTCTAGACATAGAAGAATGAAAGATAAAAGGCTCTGTTCTTACATATGTGAGGTCTGTGTTAGAAATTTCAGTGCACAACTCTTAGGATTATAAAAGTCCAGTTTGGGGCCGGCCCCGTGGCGCACTCGGGAGAGTGCAGCGCTGGGAGCACAGCGGCGCTTCCGCCACAGGTTTGGATCCTATATAGGACTGGCCGGTGCGCTCGCTGGCTGAGTGCGGTGTGGGTGACACCAAGCCAAGGGTTGCAATCCCCTTACCAGTCACGAAAAAAGACAAAAATTAAAAAAAAAATAAAAGTCCAGTTTGAGTTGATACTAAAACACAACAGAACAAGAATGTAAGCAGCTGACAGTGGGAGTTCGCCAAGACTATGTTGTCTAGCTTCTTCCTTCCCTGAAGTGGCTTCCTTATTTAATAAGAGCTTTTAAACTCTGCTTTTCAATTTTAAATTCTGACCAATAACAGACTTCAAGAAACAAATGAACTAATTCAATTATAACCACAATCCATCTATTAGCTGGCATTTATTAGCGTTGTGCCTAAAATACTTAATTTCTCAATGATTTGTCATTTTATATTTTTTTAAAAAGTTACATATTTCAGGTAAATGAGGATTTGAACCCTTGATGTTTGACTTTAAAGGGTATGTGTGTGAAATCACTAACTTAAGCCATCTTGGATGGTTGCTGGAAGGAGTAAATGATTTAATAGAGGCAATGTGTATTACGCATAGGGAGAAAGTCCTTGCCAGGCACCGTGATGGGACCTAGGAATGAGTAAGACAGCCTCTGTCTTCAAACAGCTCAACTAGTATTTTGACATTTTTAGCAAAAACAGTCTCCTTATACTCAATCATCCAATTTATCAACCAATCAGAAGATAAACGGCCTAGTCCAACATGCCTGGCACATACTAGGCCCCCAATAAATACCTGTCTAGTGCCAGTGCTATGGTTCCCTTGAGGGTCGTCCTCATTTGTGCTTCTCCTTCTCTCTGGTGCCCACTGCCAGCAGCTGTGATTTGATTACCACAGTAGCTATGCTCCAGAAGGCATGGAGCAACCCTCTGTAGCCCCCTAGATGCTCACCCCCAGATAGCCACAGCTACAAAGACTGCTAGGCCAGCAGCAGCCCCAGGGGTACCTCTTCATCAAAGAGCTAGCTTCCCTTAGAGCCACCTCAGAAATGGGAAAATCCTGTTGGAGGCTTCAGCTCTAAAGCTGCACACCCCAAACCTCACTCCAGCCCATCTCTTCCCTTGACTGTGGAAAAGAGTTCCCCTCACACCAAGTGCATGGTACATGCAGAACAAGACAAAAGCATGAGACGGAGCAAGTGAATTGCTGGCATCCTTCATTAGAATTCATGATTCTTTTCCTCACAAAAGCATCATAAATTAGAGGGTCTCAACCTTTTACCTCTTGCCAGCACATCAGAGGATTCAGCTCCCAGTAGTAACAGATGCTCCCTACAGAAGCAACTCTCAACTGGGGACTGGGTGATGTGCCCTCCCTGAGGGACATTATTAGAATTTGAGAGAAGGGTGTGTGGAGAGGTGAGAGAGTGGGGAATGACATGTCTCTCAGGTAACTGATATGCCCCTGAAATAAAAATCACTTTTATAGAAGGTGATTAGATGCTACTATATTAGTGGTACCACTCCTATGCTACATGATAGTTTAAATAAGATCTAGCTTAAAAATAATGTTTCTGTGTGAGAAAACTCTTTCCACATAGAAACATTACCTATTTCAAACTTCAGGGCTCTCCACAAAAAGGAAAAAAAGGTGAACAATAATCCTAAGTGTTCTTTACTTGAGATTTCTAGAAGGGCTTCAGTGGGGTCCAATAACTCCATGAAATTTAATGCAAATTTTGTACGTGTGTTCTAGAGAGCTTATATCATATCCTCAAAGTGACCCATGACACACAAATAAATATTAATTTAAGAACTGCAACTATTAGCTGCTTCACAGACAGAAATGTCAACATAAGCACCAATCCCTGGGTTATCCTACGTACAAGAAATAAAATTAGCCTAGACATCTGTCTCTACAGTTCATCTTGATTCTCATCTAACCCTCCTGCCAACCACATAAATCCAATGCCAGAACGTGGTTTGAACCTTAAAAGAAAAAAAAAAAATCTTATTGCGATGCAGCTTTTCCATGCCCTAACATATAAATATTTACAGATTTCTTAAACTACTGAGATTTTTTACGGTACAATAATAATAGGTTTTACTAATGTCACAGAATGCAGTGTAATCACTGGATACTTATCTTCCCACCTCCATCATTACTCACAGGCCACACACCAAATAATTATAGATACCTAAAATGCAAGTGAAATGCTCTAGAATTTAAACTTGCAAGTTGATATTCAAAAGCTGTGCTTCAGAATATACAGTCAATTACTGCACAATAAATAAAGTATGCAAAACAATTCAAAGATGTGAAAGAAATAAAAACTGACCTTCATGAGATGCTGATTTATCCATTTTGTAAATGTTTTCTTTTGAACTTTGTCTCGTTCATCTGGAAGAAAAAAAAACATAAAATAAGGTTGGTAAAACCTATGACTAAAAGACTTTAACTGTGATCATGCACATAAGTAAAAAATAAGATATTCAAGGTTGGTAAAACCTATGACTAAAAGACTTTAACTGTGATCATGCACATAAGTAAAAAATAAGATATTCAAGGTTGGTAAAACCTATGACTAAAAGACTTTAACTGTGATCATGCACATAAGTAAAAAATAAGATATTCAAAAGATACTGTTTAGTGCATTCTAATTTTCTTTTTAAATTTTGGCAACTTTAGGCTATCTGTAAGAAAGTGTTGTTTGTCACACTGGTCTCTTTCCAGTGTTGTATCTGCCAACAGTACTCCATTAAACAAATGCTCTCCGCCATCTGCCCCATAACCCACCATCACCATTACCACCACCACAAAGCTGTCTAACCTAGACTTCACTAGCTTCAGATGGATCCTTGCACTGAACTTCCCAAAGCACTTTACATCATATTACATCCCATCTGTTCTTCACAACCACAGATGGAGCATAGGTAGTATCATTCCCATTTTACAGAAGAAGAAACCAAGACTTACATTAAAAGACAGGACCTAAATTCAGATCTTTTGGCTTGAAGTGAACTCTGGCTTAATTATTCACCATGCTGTTTCTGTCCTAGATATCTTGAGTTGAAACTGTCTGGTAACATAGAAATGCCCCAACTAGATCTTTACTATAGAGAGTGATCCTACCCTGTTTATTACAGACATGGTACAGAGAAGGGTAAAGAAGCCTTCTTATGGTTTTAGAAGAAAGAGCAATTGGAATGCTCTGGTTCATCAATTTATTATTTCAGTGGAGAATCATACTCTTCCAACATCCGGAGCTAACATTCAAAACGATGCTGCCTTCTTCCCCACTTCTAGGCAGCAATTTCCTATTTTCTTGTTTTCTTCCTCCCTCCTTTCTGCATCTGGGGATACCTCCTTCTCTTTCCCCTCCCACCACAATTCAAATGTTCTCCATCCTTTCCCTGGGGATAAGACATATCTGGCTCTATTTCTTCATTTCTTTTTCTCCTCATTCTTCATCCCTGACCCTCTTAAACTACTGTAAAGGAATTAAGGTTTTTTTGAAAATGTTTGTCCTATTTATGAACAGTATATTTTCTACAATAATTTAAATATAAACAAAAACATAAAAACAAATCAACTGGGAAAATATCTGCAATATGAGACAAGGGTTACTAATATTAATACAAAAAAAACAGAAATAAGATAGAAAAAGATGAATACCTTAATATATAAGTGGGCAAGAGCACATAGGTAATCCATTCTAAAAAAAATAATGTCCACAGGTACTCAACCTCACTAGCAAATAATAAAAATATAAAATAACACAGATAGGGCTGGCCCGGTGGCGCACTGCTACAGTGCACCGCTTGGGAGCCCGGCAGCGCTCCCGCCGAGGGTTCGGATCCCACATACAGACTGGTTCCCACTCACTGGCTGAGCGAGGGGCGGGAGCAGCACCGAGGGTTGCGATCCCGTTGCCGGACACGAAAAAAGACAAAAAGGAAAAATAAATAAATAAATAACACAGATAAAAGTTTTTTAAGTGATCAAGTTACCAAGATTTTATTTTTTAAAAAATTCATGTGGAAATGGACACAGGGAACAGATACTCATACATTGCCAGTGGAAATGTACTTTGATTTAAATCTTCTACACCTGCACTTTTCAATACTGTAGCCACTAGTCACATACGGCTATTTAAGTTTAAACTAAAATTAACAATTCAGTTCCTTGATTGCACCAGTCACTATTTAAGTACTCAACAGTTCCATGCGGCTAATGGCTAACATATTGGAAAAGCACAGATATAGAACATTCCCTTTATCGCAGAAATCTCTACCAGACAGCACTGCTCTAGAACAATTTGCCAATATATATCAAAAGCCTTAAAAATATATATGCCCTTTCCCAGCAAGTCTACTTCTAGAATTTATTCTAAAGTTACAATTATGGTATGTACAAAATATATCTATGAGACTATAAATCAGAGTGTTTACAATAGCAAAATTAAAGTTTTGGAAAAAATATAAATGTTCAATGACAAGTACATAGGTAAAGAAATTTTAGTAAAGCAATCTAATGGTTTGTTCAGATTCAATTCTTTGCAAAGCTACTCAATGACAGCATGTTACTTAGAGTTCTCCTACACTTAAATGCCAGCATGAAGGGGAAAAGGTGGACCACATAAACTAGTTCATATTTCATAAGCATTTCTTCTCCAAAGTACCTCCTTGAAACCCCTTCCATTTCCTATTACTGTCAGGGAAAAACAAAAGAGTACCTAATATAGACTATCATAACGGTTAGTCTGTAACAAACACCTTTTCAGTGCCCCAAACTTCTGGTCTACTTCTTGGCTTAACATTGGGTATTAAAAATTGGAGAAGAGGCTGCAGAAAGCAGAACCAGAAGGTAGAGTCTTGCTAATTCTGAATATAAATGCTCAGAATTTATATTAAAATTGTCATATTTGCCTGATTCCAAATATAAAATTCCCAGACATTTTGCTTATAAGTATTATGTTTAGAACAATGACAATAACTGTTAACCAACAATATCATTCACAAAATATTTATTAATTCCTCTGCTGGCCCCTTAGAAGCATCATCTTTGTTTACTCCATACTAGATGCCACAATGCTTTCATGCACTCAGCAAACAGATGGCCATGATGTGAACTAATTATATTTCAGAAAGGAAAATCCAACTCAAGAAAACAATGTAGAATTAGTTCTATACTTATGTACAATAGTATATACAACTATATTGCTATTCCTAAAGAGTTCAGAATGAACCTAAATTTCTAATTAGTACATATGGTAAAAACAAAAAAAAAAAGAGAAAAAAATCTACCAGTTCTCCTTACAGATAAAATGCAGATTTTATACTTCCCTTATTTTCTCAGCCATTCATTACAGCATCTATCAGATCCCTTGTTGAACTCAGTGCCATGGTGGTGCTGGGACCACCAAGATGGAAAGAAAGAGCATTAGCCTTGGCCTCTGGAGCTCATCACCTAGCGAGGACACATAACAGGAAGGTAATGTGCTAATAAGCACACCAACTGAGAAAAGGATGTGCCCCTCACCATGTACGCAAGTCCAAAACACAGAAGGGCAGTCAGGTGGGGCTTGAAGGAGAGGAGGAAGTAGGGTAGCCAGCCACATGCAGATTTCTCCATCAAAAGGAAACCCTGATTTAATAATGTAACACTGAAAGAGCCACGGTTAGAACCCAAGTATTGTGATTCCCTCCAGAGTTGCTTCCACTACTCTCAAGACACTGTCATCTTTCAAATGGAAGCACTGAACACATCTCAGTCACAGACAGGGACCTAGGGAACCTGGCCTTGCTAATGGTGCGAACTTTGGACGAGGGCGTACAAACAACAGAAGCTCTGCACCAAAGTCTATCACTCATATCACATTTTCAGCAGTGCTTTTCTAAGCCTCCAGCAAGAAGAAAACACAGTAAACAAAAAAGTTACTTCCTAGGTAATATCCATATTATTCCCATCCAATTAATAACCTAGGACCCTGATGTTAAATCCTCAAAAGAAAAAAATATATTAAAATGTATCATTAATTAAATCTTTATAATTCAAGAATGGAGAGCTTCCATATCAAGTTGCAAAACAAGATTAAGGCACTCCTGTAACTATATTAATTTGTCTAATCATCACAAAATAATATGAACTCACATATTTATTCCATTTCATTAAATTCAATGTATTATGTATATTACATAAACTCTTCTCTTCTTGGGTCAAGAGTTAATGAAGTAGATTTCTTATTTTCTAAGTTAATAAAACTGATCCAATATCTTCAGGAACATGAAGAAGCATTTCATTAAATTCAATGTATTATGTATATTACATAAACTCTTCTCTTCTTGGGTCAAGAGATAATGAAGTAGATTTCTTATTTTCTAAGTTAATAAAACTGGTCCAATATCTTCAGGAACATGAAGAGATAGAACACAGGTTCTAAAGACGGAATAGCTAATTTCTTACCCAAGTGGTATATCAAGAAAGCTGATTTAATAAAATAGCCTACCACCAAGTATAGAGGAGAGATTCACTTAATGTAACTTTTAAAAGGTTCTTTTGATCGCTGAGATTTTGTTGTGATTGTTGTTGCTAAAGGCCCAAAAGCACTGCTAAAAATGTGAGATGGTGCTAAATAGTTGGCAGGTAAAACTGAAGTAATATCTGAGAATTGTGATCCACAACTAAAGTACATGAATAAGGTACGAAGACTAAAGCTAACTAAATAACACACATGATTCATAAGTTCTGATACTATTTTCTAATAATAACAACCTAAATCTTTTCTTTAAACCATGATAAACCTAGATGACTCCCATTCAAGTACCAAAGAAAGCTCTTTAACACTGGAACATTCCCACAATGTTACGGTAATGAGAAAATGTGAATTTTAAGGGCCTCAAGTTTCTTCAAGAGGCTACTTACAGGGCTGGCTGGTTAGCTCACTGGTTAGAGCACAGCCTTATACCCAACAAGTCATAGGTTTGGATCCCCATACTGGATGGCCACCAAAAAGAGAGAGAGAGAGAGAGAGAGAGAGAGAGAGCGAGCAACTTACAATCAGGGAAATAATTTAAGTCTGGGAAGACTTTGTGATTTTGCCACTTTCCATACACATCATTTCAAAAGGGAGTATTCCAGATTACACCATCCAATTTTCCAATTACAAGTCTCATAATGGTTCTTTATTTCATTTCAGTCAGGGATGTCTAACACTGAGATTTATATTTAGGGCAATGTTGCTATGACAACAAAAAGGGAAAAGCATTCTTGTGATTTTAACCAATTCTATTGGTTTTACAGACTATCCAGTTATTATTCTTTTTTTTTTTTCCTTTTTGTTTTTTTTACTGACCAGTAACGGGATTGCAACCCTCGGTGTCACGCCCGTACCGGGGACC